AACACTGCAGTCCAATAGTCCATTCACATTCAGAAAGAAGTAGAAGAGTTTTGAGAATTCAGGGGATATTTAGGCAGGTAAATTGATCTTAACGTTATTAATAATTTGAGAAATTCAGAAGGGTCCCTTAAGGCTCAAATATGTTCACTTTGAATTATTTAACGCAGCAATATTCTGTTGGGTAATTCAGCATCTTTTTCTCCTTTCTTTTATTTCACAATAAAAATGGGTTCATTTGTTTCCTAGTACAAATGTGGTCACATCTAATGGTTTCTGCCAGTGCTATCACTCTGTTGATCAAATATCTCTATCTGGTTATCGGGCTCTACTGGAAGGGACAGCCTGCCAAACACTGCTCACTCACAGCATTTGCTCCAGCTCTGCTACACCGGCATCAACATACTTGAAAAAGCTGAGACTTGCTAGTCTTTTGTCCCTGGGCCAATGCCAGACACTTGGTGAGGTGACTAAGCTCGTCATATTGAGTGTAATTCCACAGTCACAAGCGTGGAGACATGTAAGAGCATCCCTCAACAAACCAAGCATTCCTAGGAGATCACAAACTTGCCAAGTTTTGACAATAAATTGGAGAAAAACTGACAGGCCAAGAGTTGATACCATGTAATACCAATTTCAAACAAGGCCAAAAATGCTCTATAGCCTCGGACTACTTGTCCTGCCACACAAAAGACTGGGCTTCTGTAAAACATTTCACAGGAAAACTCTTTCTAGGGAGCTTGACTCCATCATAGCGCACTGCCTCTGTGTCTGGTGCAGGAAGGTTTTGCCCCAGGCTACTGACTCATCATGGAGACTTTCATAATACACCAGAAAGTGCTGAGTTTTCAAGACCCTGGTTGTAAAGTAATTTTCACTTAAATGCAAAATAAGTGAGAGACAGAAACTAAAGTTTGCATAAATACCCTACAGGATCCAACCACCTCCTTTCTGAAAGCAGGCTGACCTATGAACAGTTTGGAGCTCCTGAATTACTCAGTGCAAGAGCATGTTTCAACTCTTCAGCATTTTTGGATCAATTGGGAGAGTCCAACTTGCCTCTTCTAAATTACTTATTTCAAAACTCAAGCTACCTCAAACTACCCAAACTAACCAACCGAAAATGGTTATAAACAAATGATCTATTTCATTTCTCTCATGAGTATTTTTCAAGATTTTGATTTTTCATCCTAATTTCAGAGGCCAAAAATGACATTAGAAAAAAAATATAAAAATGTAAGAAAAACATTTTACTTCCAAAACTGAGTTGCATTTGACTTCCACTGTGCTAGCTTGCAGAGACCTATAAGCAATAGTCTACTACCTTACACCATTCTCAGTAACGTTTCTTAGTACTCATAGAGTTTTATTTTCTGCAGAGCATTCAAGAATTCACAGGAGCGGTCTCTTTTTCCAGGATCCCATCTTTACAGGCATTTTTCAGGTGACTTCTTTCTCCAGCGTTGAAACACACCGCAACAGCCCAGGTGGCACTCGTCATCTCTCGGCTTGCAAGGTGTGACGGGTTCTGTGACTCCACTGCGGGCCACCCCTGCCAACGTGGATTAATGGGCAGGGGGGTTCAGATAGTCCCAGTTTCTCTCATTTGTCTGGGGGTGTCTAGAAGATACTGTCATGGCTGCTGAGTAGCAGCCAACAGCTGCCTCTCGTTATTCACCTCCTTTCTATCTTCTTACCGCCCCCCACACACACATTGCTTCCATCTTCTGTCGCAGGAATGAGAGAAGATTAAAGAAACACCAAAGATAAGGAACAAGTAAAAGCAGAAATGAAAGGAAAGAAGTTGCATGGACTGTGGATGACACCCTAGAGCCTGTGCTGAAGTGAAGGCCAGAAGCTTCGGTGAAAAGCCATGATGCATTGCTCATGTTCCTCTGGATTTTATGGAATCTCCTAAAATCACCCTCTAAAAGAAAACTTAAGTCAAATTGTGTTGCATGAAACAAGAAACAATAAACTGATAAGAGAAAAAGAACCCCAAAGGAATAAGCCAAACTAAGGATCCAGAATACTGTAGGAGCTGAAATGTACAATCACATTTACATATGTGTTTCCATGCATCACTTTACAACCGGAATCTTTCTTTAAAAAATAAAAGTCACTTATTTCCAACAGAGAAGGTAATTTAATAAAATTCTGTAACACCACACAAAGCAAATCATGTAAGCAGGAGAACTGCACATAATTCTACTTAACAACTACCCACTTACCACTAGTAAATTAAAAAAAGACAAATTAGTACAGCCTGGAATTAAACTCCTTGTGATGCATTGCCTGAATGTGGAAATGCTGTTCCCCAACATATACCTCACTTTAAGCTATGGTAGAGAGCTATGTACTTATAGACAGGAGGAAAAAAGAGTCTCAAGGATGTGTGTATTATTTCCCCAGTTACTCAAAGCAAAAAAAAAAAAAAAAAAAAACAGGGAAGGCCATGAGATATTTACATTAAGGACACTTTGGAAGGAATATCCTTTCTTTTAATAACTTACAAGGAGGGTATTCTAGGCAGAGAATATCTCCCTATGAATTATTTTCCAAGTGCCTGCAAGTGCAAACAAGTTCCAAGTATATACTCTTTGTGATAATATAGAGGTATTCTTATAGCGGCGAACTACTTAAAAGATACAGACATCCCCTCAACCTGACCTTCTGTTTACTGGTAGCATTTTATCCAAACTCCCAAGAATTTCCATGGCTGCTACATAACACACTGCTCTCCTGTTTGCTTAAACCAGTAGAAGAACAAAATGCTATATATTGTCTTCCTGATTTATCTTTATATAGAACTTAATACTGTGTCGCCTTGGTGCATAGCTACAGCTCTTAACCCCCACAGCAATAAAGCGACAATATTTAAAATTAGAAAGTGAGGTAGAAAAGCTATCTGCCCGGAGATAAAGTTTGGAATTGCTGACTTCAAGGCTGAGTCTCCAATTACTGCTTACTGTTGTATCAGCACCACCTAACGGTGGATCCCACCCTTTTCCTTTGTAACGCTCTCTGTAAGTTTTATTTTCCTTTTACTTTTAATTTGAGCTCTGAAAATCCTTGGGGAACATCAGAAAGAAAGACTGCTGTTTTCTAAACTCTGTTGGTGTCATATAGAGCAATTTGTCCTGAGTGTTACTTGTAGTAGGGAGTGCAGAATAAGTGCTTTACCCAAACATTTCAAATCCTGATTTAGGCAAAACCTGCCCTGAGACAGAAGGTTTGTTGGCAGCAGAAAGGTAGAAAGAAGAACTGCCTACTGGTTTGTACATTTTTATTTTCCATGTAATCTAAATTAATCATCTTTTTTAGCTGAAACAAAAGGGGATTTATCGGCACAATCCTGAAGAGGTTTCCGTATACACCTCATTTCACACGTGACATTAATAGTCTCAGCATCTCAAGGTGCATCAGGCTTATGCCACCAGTGAGCCTGATGTTACAGGCCCCAGGAAGGCGAGACCCCGCCGGCCTGGCCCAGACCCTCCCTCAGACACAGGCCGCTGTTGCGGATCCACCTCCCCGCTTACTGCAGCTGAAACTGCTCTTCCCTCTCAGCTAAATCCCTGCAGTTGTGTTTACCCAGCCCAACCCATCTAGTCTTTGATTAACACATTAGATCTGCTCACAAGAGTATACACAGGCACAGGGCAGGGGGAAAAAAAAGAAAGAAAGGGGAAAAGGGATCTTTACTCCTTGGTAGCAACAAGCTACTAGGACAGCCCACTCTGTATAACCCTGGGACGAAAGTGTCTCCCAAAGCCAGAGCAACAGGCATCAAGAAGTATCACTCAATCCACCCTAAAAGAGGGATCTAACATTGGCTGGGTGAATACCAGTATTCAGGATTTGTTCTAATGCAGGATGCAGGATTTGGTCTATGCTCATGGATTTCCTTACCCCTACCCAACCATACTGTTCTATTTCATATAAGATGGATGTATAGCCCTTGGTATGATGAAAAGTTAGCTTAATCATATGCAAATAGTCCTCTGGAAAGTATCTTTGCTCACAGGCAAAGGGCTGCACAGGTAAGCAGAAGAACAAGAACTGGAGAGCTGAGGGCAGGCAAAGTTCACTGAAATTCTACCACGGAGCCAATGCCAGTGGCCACTGCTTGTTCAATGGCAAAGATTGCCTCATAGCTGCCAGAGGCTCTGTCCACGGGAACCTTTTTCGGACTGGTTCTTGAAGACCTTTTAGTTTACGTGACTAAGCTGCCAATACACCTTTTTATCCATCTGTTACTCCTTTCTTTTACCTTTGATGAACCCACTAGCCAGCTTCAGATGACTTAGACTGAAAAGCAAAGGTCTCAAAGTGAGAGGCAGACACCTCACAGATACTAATTTCCTGCAGATGCTGGAAATAAGGGCAAATAGGTGCCCAAGTGAAGCAGAGGAAGTTTATTCTTACACCTGAATGACATACATCTCTCAGCCTCTGTGAAAATGTTCGCCCCAACMCTTTTCTTGCTCCTCTGTTATTTCCTATGAGGAAATTTCCCTTTTACACACTTCTTTTCACAGCCACAAAGTATTGAGGTCTTCTTCCCCATTGCCCCCTGCAGCACAAGCTCCATGGGACTGTACACAACMAGGGAATTACTTGCTGACCACTCCTCAGAAAACTTGTCTGAGAGAGCTTGCTGCAGCAGATGAAAGGGAATTTTGTCTTCTTTAGTATTATTTTCCTCCCTAAGAGTATTATCAAATCCTCTTAAAATTAACTTCAGGGACTGTTAGGTTAAGCCTTGCCTGAGCTGGCCAGTTTTCCACAAGGAAGCTACAGTGCAGTCAAGCACAGCCAGGTAGGTTCCTGCTCCATCAGCTGCAGGCAAACAGTTCCACAGGGAAACAATTCACAGCCTCCCAGCAGGATCTCTCATATCTCTGCACCCTCCAGACCCAACCTTAAAATCCTAGACACAAACCACTACCATTGAAATGTTCTTTAATTAGAAAATTGGCAAATACTAGATTACTGGAAGCATGCGAGTTGGTTTGGGGGCTGTAACTGAACATTTCCTCACAGATGGTCAGGATCGCCAAAGGAGACTGTGCAACAGCTTTCCAGGCCCTGATCCCTTTCTACTTTGGGGACAGTGGGAAGGCTGAGTAGATGAATCTCCTTTTTCCTCTCTAGTCCCAGTTCAATTCATGGAGCTCTATCAGTACAAAGGACTATTGATTCATTAGTAACCAGGCAGCTTCAAGGATGTGTATGATAACAATAATAATAATGATAATGGTAATGATAATGATAATGATAATGATAATAATAAATGCACTATTAAAAAAAGTGCAAAGATTTTTTTTAAGGAGTTACTTCACAATGGTAATCAGAACAGTGTCTAGTTCTGTGGTGGTTCAAAATATTTCCAATTAACTCCAGGCACAGTCTTTTGAAAAACTGCTGGTATCTTACTGCACAGTGTGTAATTGTTTCTAGGCACCCTGACAGCCTGCAATGGCATCATCTTCTGCCTGCCTAGAGACGTTGGTTTAGCTTGTTTGTAATGCGTGTTGTGGCAGACCCACATTCTGAAAGGATGTCATTAATTAGATCTGGTATGCAATTTATGCACGGATTTCTGTGTACATACTTAGAGCACTATGTATTTTTGGAAGAAAACAAAGCAAATGGATTTAAATGAATCAGCACTATCTCATTTGGTGCTGAAAAGTAAGATACTCGATTTCTAATCAAGATATTCACTTTGACTTCAGAAGCACCTTTAAGAGTTTATATAACGTATATCTTCATTCTTTAAAGCCTAGGCTGGACTTGGCTTGTCTTCTTCTCCTTTGCCCTCAAAAGAAAAAAARAAAGATAGAGAGAGACTGGCAATTCAGCACAGACCTGCTGTTTGATGCCATTCAAAGTCTAAAAGTTGCAGAATCAAAGCCGTTATTCTCTGTATTCTCCAAGTAAAAAGTGGACTGTACAGAAGATCTCACAGACTGGATGCCACTTTGATTTTTCAATCTTTTTATACAGACAGACAGAAAGATAGATAAAAWTTTTGGATAAAGTTTTTGGGCATTTTAAATACCTATGTCTTATTTATTTTTGAAGAAACATACATTTATTTTTTGTATATTACTGAAAATCACCCAAAGGGACATTTTGCCTAAGAGATAAAAAGGGCTCCAATATGTTTCAGAGTTTTTGGATAGTCTTAATAAGCCAAAGCACAATTGTTTTGTATCCGAAATTTTTGGTGTTGTTCTTTATTTAGACATGCCAGTCCTTTATCCGAACTGGCATCACCAGTCCTCGCAACTCAAAGTTCCAGCACTGCAGTGTAAGTCTTACTGAATCTCAGACCAATAATTAAACGCTTATGTGGTGCCCTGGATATCTACAGCAGCCTCTGAGCCTGTTACACCGATTGTTTCTTAGTGTTTATAAAACCAAAAATATAAATTTTATTTCTAATCCTATCCTGATTATTCTTTTTAAAGCTCTACATTGCTTTTATTTTAAATGTCTAAGGAAAATACTATTATCTTAAATTTGCTACACCTTTTTTTTTCTTCTTTCCTTTACATCTCTTTTATATTACATCTACATCTTATAGGAGTTTTATTTTTATTAATTTAGAATTTAAATTTAACAGAAGAGGGTAAATAATGCTCATTTTAATCTCTAGTAGGAAAATATCTGGCTAATTCAAGAGTGTCACAGATGTAAAGAAAAGCAATGTTAATTAAGCAACAATAGCTACTAGATAGTAATTAGCTGTTATAAATCTACAGTTGTGCAAGAAAACATTGATCACAATAAAAATGTTATGCAAATTAAAATGACTGCTTGGGATAGACAGATTTTAATTTCCAGATGTCTGTGACAATATAAATTCTCACTGAGAAAAATTAAGTGCTGATTTGTATTCAGGTGATCTCTTAAAACACTGTTGGCAGCCTTAAACAAAGAGGAGGTAATCACGGAGAAAGACAAACATGAATAATGCCAATGTTTAGGGAAGATAGCCCTGTCAAAATATGGGGCATCTAATTATAAAAACTGATTTCATAATGAAGTTATTTGGCTTTTAAAGCAATTACGGTTTAGACATCCTCTCTGCTAATGCAGTCTGTATCACCACGGGACATTTTCACTGAGATGACAGCTGCTTACGACATACAGATCCATGGAAGGCTGAATGAAATGTGTGACTACATTTTTATTCTTGGCATATTCATGTAAGGGCTTCAACTACAGGAGCCAAATGAAGCTGAATCATATTTTTATTCTTCTTTTTTTAATAATAAAACATAGTAAGGGTTCACTACAGATGACATGATCAGCATACACAGTTGAGAATATGTGAGCTACCTAAAATGTATTATATGTGCAATTCTGTTGTCTTTTGTCAAATGCTTGAAAAAGACCCAAAGAAAATAAATAAATACCCACTTGTATCTACATTTCTGTAAGAACAATAWTGATTTCTGTAAGAACACTACTGTGCAGTATAGCGAAACTCCCAACAACCACTTGCATATTCACCAGTCTAAACTATAAAACTGTCAAACCCCATTYGACTCAATTGGCCTAGCTTAGGGTATGGATTTATCTGCGTTCATATCCAAGGGATCCACTACTTGATGAAGCGCCTAATTGCAAGGGATCTCTCTGTTGATTCCTCATTCTTGTATCATCCATGCTTACTCTCCGTTACATATAGAAGCCATCATTCTATAGAAAAGAATGTTTGCAGCCAGCCAGGCTGTCCTGATGTATTGCCCTACAGCCAAGCATTGTCTCATCAAATTCATTTTAAGGGTTTCTTTTACTGCCTGCTTTCCTCGTTGTTTTTTGCCCTTCTGGGGGGAGAGGGGACTGAAAGCATACGTGAGTGATTAAATACAATTTTCTCTTCATTAGTTACATCTAAGGTCACTCCAAGCCTTACATATAGCAATTTTATTATTTCACTTCTAATTAGGACCAACCAAAATTGGAACAGCTCATATGACAGGTAACTGGTATCTTTTTGTGTAATAAGAAATGTCTAAGTTTCCACCATTTCCTTTACGGCAAGCAACATCACCCAGTCAAAAATATTATTATGAGATGACCACAATAACACCTAATATTTTTCTCTTAAGCTTTACAGCACTTCATCTCTTAGAATAAATGTGACACGCTCGACTTCTATTAAAAAAAAAAAAAAAAAAAAAAAAGAAGGGGGGGGGGAGGCTTATAATTCCCCATCTTTCAGAAAAGCGTGAGGAGTAAGACAAAACCTCACACTTGCTGCACATGCTCTAGCACTCGGCAAGCCAGGGCCTCCATTTTGGAGGCTCGGCATGACCAGCCCTACCACTGCCGCCAGACTCCGCCTGACTAACTGACCGTCCCGGGCTATTTACTGAGGGGGCCTCAACGGTTAATAACGGCTTTTAACGCCGCCGCTGAAGGGCGGCCC